TAGAGATGGACAGATGGATGGATGGATGGATGGAGATGGATACAGATGGATGGATGGATGGATGGATGGATGGATGGATGGATGGATGGAGATGGATAGAGTTGGATGGATGGATAGATAGATAGATAGATAGATAGATAGATAGATAGATAGATACAGATGGATGGATGGATGGGTGGATAGATGGATGGATAGGGATGGATAGGGATGGATAGGGATGGATAGGGAGGGAGAGAGACAGATAGATAGATAGATAGATATGGGTGGATGGATGGATGGATAGATAGATAGATAGATAGATAGATAGATAGATAGATAGATAGATAGATAGATAGATCTGGCTACATGCAACTGCCCTCTTAAGAGAACTGAATTGCTGCACCTGGTCTGAGAGACACAAAGCTGTGTGCGAATATCAAACAGTGTATGCAACGGTTGCCTTACCTGCTGAATCATGACGCTGTAGATCCCCATGGACTGCAACCCCCGCGTGAAGTACAGCATGTTGGCCCAGCCTAAGGACATCGCCAGGACGAGGCAGGGGAGGTGCCCTTTGTAGGAGAAAAGGTACAGGAAGACCGAGAAGATCACCAGCACAGCTTGAATGAAACTGAAAGGCCACAATAACAACATTATTTTTTTTAAATTTCTATTCTGCCTTTTTATTATAATGTTATAAATCTTTTACATCGTATTGCTTCAATACAGTGATATTTATATCACATGAATAGATATTAGTAACGTTCTATTATTTAGATAGTTTAAAGTATTAAAAATAGAGAAAGGAAAGAAAAAATTCTGTCAGTATTGATTACAATTTAGGTGTCACTACTACAAGCATAAAATTATTTGGCTTCTTCATCCAAAGTTAAATATAACATTAGAAAAAGAACCACTGCAACTCACACCAAAGTACTGATTATATGATAATGGTTTTGCTCTTAAGGTAATTACAATATTAAAATCTCCATTGTATTGTTACTAGATAAATAAAAGGAAAAAAAAAGATTGACAAAGCAAATTTAACAAAAGTTAAAATGCCTAAAAAGTAAAAAAAAAAGAAAAAAACAAAAGCAAAAGGCTAATAATAAAAAAAAAAACTACTGGTTTCTGACTCCCCCTTTTTTATACATTTGCTAATTTGCAATATTTGCGGACATTCAGGCCCCCTTCCACAGTAACAAAATTAGATTTCTCGGAGGGAAGTTGGGCTTTCTTGACATGGCAGGGTGGACTGCAAGGAAGGTCAAAAAAGTCAAGATGGGGGCCACAACTGTGTGATCAAAGGCCCACCCTTGTAAGACAATTCATACCTAATTTCTGGTCAAGAGATGCCTCTATTGAACTGTAAAAATATCCAGTTAACCCAATTAAAATCAATAGCAGAAGGAAGAAAAGCTATAAATAGTAAATAATACATTGAACAAATATGGTAAATAAATGGAATGAATATGGTAAATAATTGAATGAATATGGTAACTAAAAGAATATAGAAAAATGGATAGCAAGGATACTAATAGTGATTATAGCGGTTTAAAAAAAAAGGCCCATGAAATATCCCCAAAGGAGCATGCGTATATCCTTTACAGCAACCGTTCTCCACTAGGCCACCTTCCAGAAGGCCTGGACTACAACTCCCATCATCCCCAACCAACCTGGCTCCTGGAAAGTGCTCGGGAGGCAAAGCTGGCTCTTAGAACCTCTTTCTCGCTTTTTCGGAGGTAGGTAAGCATCTTTTCTTTTTTTTAATCTGTTCAGTCGTGTCCGATTCTCGGAGACCGCCTGGACCAGTCCCTGCAGTTTTCTGGGCAAGGTTTTTCAGAAGTGGGTTTGCCCTTGCCTCCTTCCTGGGGCTGAGAGAGAGCGACTGGCCCGAGGTGCCCCAGCTGGCTTCATGCCCAAGGCAGGATTAGAACTCGTGGCCTCCCGCTTTCTAGCCTGGTGCCTTCACCCCTATCCCAAACTGGCTCTCTAGGTTAGAATCCTACCTGGCTATAAATTACATCTACTTCCCCGGGAAAGCCTGCAGATGACTGAGCGTGAGCGCCAGGTGTGAGAAGAGCACTGCAGAAAAGCGTTTTTGGAAGTGAGTGTGCGGAAGAACCGGGGTGGCTTCCGAGCCGTTCAACCACCCGGCTACGGCGGCGTCACTTACAAGGCAAAATGGAACCAGGCGTCCGACAGAATCGTCTGCAGGTCAGAAGGCCGTAGCAAGAAGAGGGCGACGCTCTGCAGGCGGAAATACACACGGGAGAGAACAGATTCAACAGACGCATTAAGCAAATGCCAGCCCGTCCTAATCACCCACTGCATCGTGTCTGGGATTCTGTGCCAGGACTGGAACAAAACTCATCGGCCTCAGTCCAGCTTCGCTTTGAAAAAGAACACAATTCTTGCTCTCGACAACTACGAATAAACCAGGGGTGCCCTGGGAGGGGTGGGGGGAAGAGGCTGAAAAAGTCAAGAAGGCAGTGCAGTTGCGCAATGGAAGCCCTGTTTCTTTTTACCTGCATTGCAATACAGATCGAAAAGAGGTGGGGGGCGGCCTCTTCGCCTTTCTGGACCCTGCCTCCCCCAAGGACACCCCTGGGTAGACTTGTAAGAAAAACCGTTTTTAAAGGAAAAAAACCACTTTTGGGAAGAAGATTACTGTCGTCATTTTAGCTATTAGTGCTGGAAAGGCTAAAGCTGGCTAGTTTGGGTGGGGCCAGTCTAGGAAAGGGTTTATTCCGACATCAGGTTTCTAGGGTTGTGTGAGCCCAACTTGGACATCTTAAGAGCAGTGATCCGTTCAGGCAAGGGGACAAGGAAAGGCAGAAATTCTCCTCCATGCCCCAAAGTCCCCGTTCTATACCGGGAATATTTCCAGCAGCACTTACTTCTTTAATGGCAATGAACACAGCTCCCAAAATGACGGCGGCTTGTCCTGCCAACTGCAACCAGTTCAGGTCTCCAATCAGTGCTAAAGGGTATGGTGGGGGCTGAAGACGAAAAAGAAGAAGAAGAAAATAAGAATAAGTTCCCCAGAGCAGCTGGCAGCCTCTAGGCAAATCTGGCTGGCAGAGCTAGGCAAGGATTGGAGACCACCAGGAGAGGCCACTCTGCGCGGGAAGCCAAACTGGGGGGCTAAAAAAGCTTCTGGAGATAAGATACAGTGATAAATCACGTCCTCATTGTCAGTAAGAAAGTGGTAACGACGGAGCAGTGCAGATCATCACCAAGAAATCCGCCTGATTGGAAGGACGCTTTATTTCTTAATCGGGAGCCCGGTTTTATTAACACCTTACTTTTCAAGCCGTTCAGTCATTCGTTCATTGCAAAGCATTTCAAGGCTGTGTCTCATCACTGCAGCCCTGCCCGGGGCATGAGGTCACGCCGCATTCAAGCAAGATGAACAGCGAAGTCAAAACAGCGTCCAAACCGAGGGTTCGAAATGAAGGCTCGGCTTTTGCTTCGCCAGCCCCCAGGGGTGGGTTATTTGTTTTGCACTTTGGGCTAGAGGGAGCCTCTCTGAGACCTCCTGTTTAAAAGCAGCGAAGGTCATAGAGAGTATGGACTGAGGATGCTCCCACCCCTGTGCAGGGCTGGTCCAAAAAGTCAAAATGGTGCCCGTGACTATGCAACTGGAGCCCTGTCCTATTTTATGCGTGGCAATAAAAAAGGGCAGGGGCTGGCTGACATGACGGCGGCCACCATCTTTACTTTTTTGCCATCTCTGGCCTGTGGGTTGCATGTCAGGGTCGCCAGCTCAGCTGCCCCCCGTGGATGCCACCCGTGGGGGACTCAAGTCAAGGCAAAAAAACCCTGCTTCTGGAGCTGCACCGGTTGCCAGTGTGCTTCCGGGTGCAATTCAAGGTGCTGGTTGGCACCTTTAAAGCCCTGCATGGCTTGGGACCGGGTTACCCGAGGGGCTGTCTTCTCCCAGTTGTTTCTACTTGTCCAATCCGGTCCGGCAGGACGGGCACGCTCTGGGTCCTGTCAGCCAAGGAATATCGGAGACATGCCTTTTCTGCTGTGGCCCCTGCCCTCTGGAACATCCTCCCTCCCGATATTAGGGTGGCCCCGACCCTTTAAAGATCTGGCCTTATGCCCAGGCTTGGGGCCCCGAGCGTGTGAAGGGCCCCGTGTCATGGTTGTGCTAATACTGACGGCTTTTAAAGATCTCTTGGCTGTATTTATATTTAATTTTCGGTACTGTTTTAAGTGTGGACTGTTTTTGTTGTTCTTAGCTGCCCAGAGTCACTGGTCTGAGATGGGCGGCTATATAAATTGAATAAATAAATACATAAAAATCAGGTTAAGCGGATTGTGGTCATGGGAAGGAGAAGAAATGCTGTTTGGGAGTAGAGGAATGAATCCACCGGGTCACGCCCCAAGGAAGAGGAGCTTAAAACATCTGGAGGAATTCCCGAGGTGGCAAACGGTTTGCAAGCGCCAGAGAGAGGAAGGCGAACGCCGTTGGGAAACTTTGCAGCGGAAAAGAGAAAGATCATTCATCAAAGGTGCCGTGGAAGCGGTCGACCCTGCCCGCGACAAGAAGAAGGGGGAATGATGGTGCCCTCCCTACCTGCGTCGTGTGAGGCCTGTAATAGGAGATCAATGTCAATATCAGGTTGTAGAAGAAGTAAAGGCAGCATGACAGGAAGAAGACGTGCCGGGCGAATCGTTTCCACTTCATCCGGAGCAAGGAGTGAAGAGGTTCCAGAGCCAGCATTTCATGCCGATTCTGCATTGGGAAAGGGGGGGAAAAAAGGGATCTGTCTCTTCGGGCATGAAAAGGAGGAGAGGGCGTTTGTAGCAGAGGTTAATCCAGGCGAAATGATAGGTTAATTAAGCGGGGCCCCAAGCTTGAATGGATCAATTAATCAACCAATAGTCCAGCTGGTGAATAAGCAGTGAGGACTGCACAGTATTTCAATCTCCTTAGCCCTGTCTTTCTCATCCTCAGCAACTTTAAGTTGTATGGACTTCAATTCCCAGAATTCCCCAGCCAGCTGGGGGATTCTGGGAGTTGGTCCACACAACTTAAAGTTGCTGAGGGTGAGAAAGAGTGCCTTAGCCATTTCATTTATAGCTTAACTACAGCAGATGTCGCTCCTAACTTGACCTTGGCTAATCACAGAAAGCTAAGCAAGGCCCAAAGAGGTTAATTCTTGGATGGGAGACCACGAGGCTATTCTGAGCAGCCAAAAAAATCTTCCTGAAAGGAGGCAGTGGCAAAACTAAATGCTGTTGTCAAAAAAATCACATTAGTACAGGTAGTCCTCGACTTATGACCACAATAGGGACCGGAACTTCCATCGCTAAGCGATGTAGTTGTTAAGTGAATCTCAACCGATTTTACAACCTTGTTTTACTACAGTTGTTAAGTGAATCTGGCTTCCCCCATTGACTTTGCTTGTCGGAAGCCCCCTGGGAAGGTTGCCAACGGCGATCACATGATCCTGGGACACTGCAACCATTGTAAATACATGCTGGTTGCCAAGTACCTGAATTTGTGACCATAGGGACCCTGCGACTGTTGTATATATGAGGACTGGTCGTAAGTCACTTTCTTCAGCACTGTTGGAACTTCAAACAGTCACTAAACGAATGTTTGTAACTTGGGGACTACCTGTATGTTCCTAAAGTAACCAAGCTCGACTTGAGACCTTACTTTTACTTTGTTCCCAACACCCCTGGGAGGTAGGCTAGGCTGAAAATAGTTTTTTTGGCACAAGGTCAGCCAGTAAACTTTATGATTAAGGGGGGCTTAGAGCCAGAGTTTATGCATTACATAAGGAAAATTTATTTTTAAAGATTTTGGGGGGGGGTCCTAATTAAGGGTTGACATTCAAGTAGTCCTCCACTAATTGTTATTTCGTTAGTCAATGAATTCAGCAATTAATTTTGCCACTAACAATAAGCACTGAGTAAACAGCTTTTCCTGTGCCAAAAGTATCCATTTCAACCCTCCAGAGCCCCCAATCCAAAAAAAGGAGAAAAACAAAGAACTTGAAAAATTGAAGTCCAGCTGCTTTGGGAATGCTCTGACCCACAAGGACTTACCCCGATATTTGTATTATAGACAATGATGTCCAGGAGTGAGTTCTCTGAAGTGGTGTCCAATTCTGTGAGGTCATAAAGGGACGACTGGACGGGGCCGTAAGCCCAGTCGGTGAACTTTCTGGAGAGACTCCGGATGGGTTTCTCCTTGATCTCTCGGCTGAGAATGTACTTCAGAATCTAGAACGACCCAAGTCAAGAAGCGAACCAGTTGAGAGTCCAGACTGGACAAAGACAAGGAACAGGGAGTCGTGAAGCCCCGGTGAGCTGGCCAGGACCACCGTCCTGGCCACCCTGCTCCTTAGAAGGCATCTCACCTGCTGCTCTGAACAACACTGAGAGCGGAGCCTTGCACCCGTTCCAATTTTGCACACCGGCCAAGTCACCATTTAGGGTTACACATAGGCCCTGGGGAAGTTAAAATGGGGCCTCCCAGCCATCAGCACTGCTCAAAAACTTCAGCCCCCTTCTCCAAAGAAAAGCACTAGGAGGTTATGTTAAGGGCCAGGGGTTTCCCAGGGAAGGGGTCAGAAGAGTCAAGATGGGGGCCACAACGATGCGATGAAAGTTCTGGCCACCATCTTGACTTTTTCATCCCCCCTTCCCTGGCCAGGAAGCTAATATATAAAACTTTAATCTGTTAAACTGATCACGTTTTGTCATGATTACATCATTGCCTTTGGGCAATGAATCAATAAGGATCTTTTTGATAGCTCCTTGTTTAACGTCTTACGTTACCTTTTCAAAATCAGTCACCCTCAGGGTCACCAAAGTAGACTTTCGGGTTTCAGGAAATTGGGAATGTGTATGAGGTAGGTTGTGGAATTTGCACCCTTACACCCATATCTGGCCCAGCTGTTAACCTCTGTCTGATCCTTGCGGTATCCTGGATCTCAAGATCTGCAGCGACTATCAAACATTTACTGGAATTGTTCTTTGCACAACGAGGCTTCAGTTAGTACTGAAGATTATTCTTTGACTTCTTCCTACTTGCAAAGGACATAGCACATGGAACCCTCAGTCTAACCCTAAACCTTCTCTACTTTTTAAAAATTTCATATAAGGCACAAAGATTTCAATTGAGTTGGGCGTACCTCCAACTTCCCGGTTTTTGCTGCTAGCTGCAGAGGCGTTAAACCAGCTTTGTTCTTCATTGTCTCCAAATCCCGGCTTCTACTTTTCAAAAGGATGGTGTCGTACATCCGCCGAACAAAGTCATTTTGCGTCTTAAAGTCTTCCGCCACAGTCACCAACGCATGGAGGATATTGTTCCCGCGCGCATCCTGGGACATGATGTCCGTCTTGCTGTTCTCCATCAAGAGCTGCACTATATCTGGCTGGTTGGTGCACGCTGCTAATGCCAAGGGTGTTTCACCTGGAAAAAGAGGGCCAAATTGCAGGAGGGGGAGAGCAAACATTCACAATTTGTAGCTTCTAGGCCACCAATTCAAAAAAAAAAAAAAGTTGAGGGGCCGAAATCTTTCTAATTTCTTTTCCTTTTTTTGTGCACATCCTTGAAAACTCAGGAGATGTCAGCCTTCTTGCTTAAACTCTTCAAAGAGGAGTGTTCTCACTGGAAGTTTCAGAAAAGTTTCAGCAAGAACTCCAAAAATGTCACAAGATTCAATACAGTAATTCGCTAGGCTAGGCTAGGCTAGGCTAGGCTAGGCTAGGCTAGGCTAGG